ACCCCATGCCTGTGGAGGAGAACTTCTTGGTTTACGTTGTCGACTGCTTTGCTGAAATCGATGTACATCACGTCGACAGACTTCACTTGATTCACTGCTTGCAACCATTTATGCCTCAACACGAACAGCTTGTATGACCTGGCATGAAACACTATGCGGATATCAGGAGATCTTTTGACCGAAACAACTGTAGCAGACTCTCATTCACAATCTTTTCGGTGACCCTGACCAAAATAGGTGGCAAACAAATTGACCTCCAGCTGCCTACTTTACTGCGATTACCGCCTTTCGGAATCGGCCTTACAACCAAGCATTTTTAATCAATCGCAACGAACCTTCGGACATTGACCTGTTGAACAGGTCAGTTTAGGCAGGCGAAAGTATTGCTGACGAGGACTTAAGAACCAGGGGATGGAGCCCATCGGGCCCTGCAAACTGGATGCCGTTGAGATTTTCGAGTAGTTGGCGCACCTCTTCCACACTGCAATCCATATTGTCGAGTTTGGTAAGGGTGGTGCACACCGAACCCCGGTACAGACACCTGGTCATTTGCAAACACAGAGAAAGTGCGCCGTCACGGCGAACGTACGCTCAGTGCTAAAGGTCGAGGGCTGTGCATTCGAGTCCTCTATCACTGGTAGGTGGCGTATCAACCTCAGGCGCCGCTTCGCTTACGCAAACATTTTCTTCGGAGCGGTTGCAAGCTGCTGTTCGAAATGCCGGCGCTTGCTCCTTTTCACACTGTCGCAGATATTTCGCTGCTCTTATATACATGGCCGTCGACTGAGCCAGAGATAAACAATTTGTCCCACAACGTGCGTCGCCGCCGAGCCAGCTTACCATATTCGTTGTCGAGCCAATGTGGCTTGACCGGTCCGACTTTCCAGTACTTGCGAGGCCAAAATCGATTACACAATGAGTTTACTCCATCGTTTATAACTGACCAGCAAACTTCAACAAACGCAGTTTGCGACACAGACCAATCCACTTTGTTTACAGCTCGAGTCAGACCGTATGACTCCGTTTTCCAGTAGCTATAAACTGGCAGCAGTGTGTTGAAATACCGTAGCCGCAGCTCCATTTTGGCGGTCAGAATTGTGTTGTTGCTTGCTGCCGATGAATCCAAGATCCCAATGTCAAGCACAGATTATTCACAGCTGGTTAACATCAAGTCTAGGCACGATGGAGTTGACCGCGGTGTTATGTGCGTCGGTTGACAGATGTGTTTTACTGCCTCAGTTTCAAGTACCATATCAGCGAACTTTGCTTCGGCCTCACAATAACCGATGATAACTTCAACTTCAGATCAGCGTATTCGAGGACAATTGAAATCGCCTATGAGTAGCAAATGACGGTGACTCATGTGATCTCGGAGATGTGGCAGCCAATCCAGGCAACTGCTCAGGGGACTGCGGTAGAATACACCCACGAGCAGCTCTCTGCGCCTGAGGTGAATGGAACACCACAACTGCTCGCATAGACCATCTTAGCTTTGGTGGGCGCTCACGAGTCTCCCACACAGAGCAGACCGAATGCAGAGCAAGACAGCACCACGGGCATTCCGTAGCCTGCTACAGCGGAAGCATGAATAGCCACTAAGCTCGACTTCCTGAGTAAGTGCCTCATCGTTCAGCCACGTACCTGAGAGTCATATTACACCTGGTCGACCTAAAACAACCTAGCAGCACAGTTCATCGCGCTCGTTCATAACACTGCAGTTGTGGGCAAAACCTACACGCAGGCTTCGGTAAGAAGGACCGGGCATATCTGAAGAATGAGCCACCGATTTATCCGAATGCACGTTCGTGCTGTAACAACCCAAAAGTTTACAATACGTAGTTCACTGCCTTAGCTCGATGATGGCGCACTTGAGGCACTGGATCGTATCCGGACGAATATGCACTCTTTAGCCTCTCAGTCTTCTCATCCGAGACAGTATTAGCTTCTGGCCTGATTTGTTGACAAATGTTGTCCGCATACGTCGATCTTCCTCAGCTGTGTTTTTGCTGAGACGGATGACTTGTTTCATTTTCACTCCGTCTTCACCCACTTTGAGAATCCTATCAACCAGGCTCTGTAAAGTCTACGCCATTAGCATAGTGTGCGCGAGGACCTGGATTGTTGGACTCAGGCACGTGAAAAAGCATAACAGTTGATCATCTCTTGTCATTCAAAGTAGTACCTGTGTGAGATGGGTGGACTTGAGCTTTGCTTGACCTGGCCTGTTGTTAGCTACTAGCAGGAGGCTTCTCTTCGTTTCGAGGCTTTTTCCGTCGTTGAGTTTTCCATGGCTTCTCCATTGAACATTCATCTGGGTCTTTTGAGCTAGCAGAGCACAGTCTTTAGATCATTGGCCATAGTTGGCGTCTTGCCTCCGTAAACACTAGAGGGGCGGGGTAATGAGTTGTCAAAGGGAGTTGAATAGGAGGAAGGCTGGGTTGAACGTTGGTTGGACTCTGGGGCAGTTTGCGGGACAGTAAGTCCAGAACTGCTCACGGTTAAATGTCTTTGGTTGCGATCTGCATCGGTAGACGTTCTACGTTTCTCGGGCTGTCAGACAATAACAATCGTTACACAAAATTTGGATGGAATCATCTTGAAAGGAATGCAGAAGACGATAGGAATCGGCATGTAATCCCAAACACGAAATATGAAATCCAGCACAACAATCAAAGCAAGTAATGGCATTTATCGTTTGTCCAACAATTTTCTAATAGGATCCACGAGGTGATTTCTTCGTCATTATGGAAAAATGTCGCAAATGTAACGTAAAGTGGTAAGGCAGAATTTGCAAAACTGGACTACAAAATCTGTGGAAAAATACCACACATAATATGATCCAGAAATTGCAATTCCAGAAATGAACTTGAATAATGCCGAACTTTCCACAAAGTAATCCCAATACGCCGGTTAATCCACAAGAGATTATCCTGACAACGCAACCACGGAATAGGCTACCGGAGGTCGCTAATCTCGTAAATTGCCAACCCCTAAAAATACTTACATGACTCCTTGTCGCTCTTTAAATATGCCTCCACAATGCGAGTCGCAAATTGGCCGGTATCAGCTGACATACCAGGCAACATGAGAACTGGAAGCTAGTTGACCTGCTGAGTAGGTGCATCGATTGGTACACCCAGATGATTAGGGAACAGACGGTTGACTACCCACGTCTCTCATGATGTATGGCCAGTGTGCAAAAGACTTTTACTGGAGTTTTCAAGCTGGTGGACTCTTATGTTTGCTTTATAAAAAGATTGTTGGGTGCAATAGTTCCGATTCGTCTACATCCATCCATGGAAAAAATACACCCATTTTCAAGGCATTCCCAGTTGTGGTGTGGTCCGTTGGTGCGATGCCCCGATGAATCAGAGCATTGCGTTATTCAGGATGGTTCTGTGATGAAAGTGCACACAAAAATTGCGTACAGGCATAAGTGCGTACACGGGAATATACTAGTTCGATCGCTTGTTTTACATACCAAAACTCCTCTGATTCATTCAGAAATCCCAACAGACAGAGCGTTGCTCTCTCACTGCATTTTATCGAAGCCTCGGCGATTGGATGACTGTAACACGGACCTGGTGTGAACAAACCGATTTCATGGCTAGGCTTGGTGAGATTGGTGAGCACGTCCCGCTGATCAGTATGATTATTTTCGCATATGAGCTATTATTTCGTTACCCAACGCTGACAACACATTTCCCATCACAATACCAGATGTGGCACTAATCACTCCTCTGTCTAGCGTCATTTTGCTTCTGGTAGCATTGGTTTCTGCTTTTTGAGAACATGCGCTGTGACTGCGCGGTCGGTTGTTGTAAGATGATGTCGTCTCGTGTCTTCATCAGTCATTGCTACTTCATAAATCGCTTGTGCCTGCACTCCATGTGATGATTTCATTCGGAGTGCGAAAAGCGTGGTAATCGAGCTCCAAGTAAGTAAATACTCAGTTGATCCTGACTCGTTCAATACTCTATGGTTAACGCTTCGTAAAGAAACAGCAATGTGTGTTAAAGTTAACTGCGCAGTATTTTGCAACTCGATGGGGTGTCTCATGCGACATTTTACCGTCCCAAATTTCAAATTAGCAACATTTCAATTCTGCCTACTACATTCAGCGACTTTACATATTCCTGTGAACCGTTTACATTCAACTTTTGGAATAATTCGGCTGCATACACAGTCAGTCAAAGAGCAATGTCATTAGCCAAACATTGGTGTTCGAAAGTCATTTGATGCGGCGAAGGTCCGGCTCAGTGGGACGCGGTCACCAACCTCATCATGACAACGCGGGGCTACCCACGAAATCGGTCTGTTTTCACTAAGTGCGTTAAAGCCGCCGGATCACTGTAGCTTCGGCAAACTGCAGTAGGTGAGCGGTGCTCTGTCTGCTTAGTACTCTAAATGAATCACTGTTTTTTGGTAATTAGGGCAGTAGTGTATGTGGCAAGCGATCGAATCAGCACTTTTACTGTGCGCATTTTCCGGTCACCCTTCGGGCGGACCATTGCCGCATGACAGTTGCTCCTCCGGGGTAAACCGAAACACAACTTGAGGTGGAACGTGGCGAAAACATTCGGTGTTGGATCAGATGAGCGACACTAACCTGAGAATGTGCCAGATGCGCCAGCGAAATCTGACAGGGACTGTTGTCGCCAGGGCATGGACAACTTGCGTGTTTCCCCATGTGAAGGAAATTACATTCGGACACGGTAGAACCCGTTTGCTTCTTTGATGGAATTAGGCTCCCCTGGCGAACAGTATCTTCACGGCTCCACTTCCTGCTCATTCGCTACATGGGAAGTATTTTACGGTACTATACAAACCTCTGTGTACATTTTATCGGCTTTGTTTTTTACGACTTCGCCACATTTTAATATAGTATGATTTGCTTGGATGATAGTTCATTCTCTAACGGGTTTGTTACAATTTGTAAATTCTGATGAGTGGCCTTGAATTCGTCATTTGATATGTGTACCCATTTTCCCCCATTGCAGCCTTCTTCAGATCACTCGTTTACATCCTCCATGCGATTCATGCAATGGGCTGTCGCTCAGGTCGTTTGCGCAAGGCTCTACCTTCGTTTTCTCACTGTGCTATCTGAACGGCCTGCTGGCTCGGACGAACTCTCTTCTCTCAAGTCGCCCACCACTTTCATTGAGTAGGTCCTGTCGATATCTGGCATGCACATGCCGTGGCTGATATGCTACCACGTGCTTACCAGGTTTTTTCGATGGCCTGTCCTTCTTTTGTTTGGTACACTCGGAATCACTTAAAACACTCAGTGGACAATAGTTGTTCGCATATCCTCGAAGCACCATTCTGTAGATCTCACAACCTACTCTCTGTGACTACCTCTAACAACTTGTTGGACTACATCAGAGACCTACCCCACTTTCGGCTTGATTTCTGTTTCATCTTTGAGCATTGTCTGCACTAGTTGGACTTCTTTGACGGTTGTGAATGCGCATATTCTTGCTCACTGTTATCCCAACTCTGTCCAAATGTTTTCTTCTTTACTTATTACCTACTGTTGCACAATGTTCATTCTCCTTCCGTTGTAGACCCCTACTGCATGTGTTGTCACATCTTGTGCATCGATATCGCCGTTCACTCCTCATTCATCCGCGCTTAGCGTCTACATTGTTTGGACCGGGGTTGAACGAATCACGCACAGTGAACACATCAGCCGCCGCAATACTCGCCCAACTCATCGCGTCTCATTTGCTTACTTTGCTCGAGTTCACGGAACGAGGTAGGTCATGTCTTCTTCTTCTTTTGGTTGGATCCCCGTTGTCGTGCTTGATAGTGTTGCGCTTGTCTGTGCCTTACCTTCAACGGCTATTCACTGATCATTTCATCATTGGTTCTGTCTCCCTTGGTGTATTTTACGAACACTTCACTGCGTAGGTTGTTTACTAAGTTCACGTCCACACAATCGCGCACTGAACGGCCACAACCGTCTTTTGACTCATCTCTGCCACATTCTTCACTGTGCCCAGAAGTGGTTACTTCAGCATATTTCCTTAGCTGTGATCCGTGCATCGAAGTTCAATCGGTCCAGTTAACTTGGCTCGCGTTCCCATACTGTTTGTGATAATAACTACAGTTATTGCCAACAATGATGAAAAAAAGCTGACTGAACAAATAACGATAGTCTTGATAATAATAATAATAATAACAATAATAATGTATTTTTCTTGATAAATGGAGAAACCGTCCTCGTAATGGCAAAAATCTTTAGTTGAATCCAGTAGTGCTGTTGGAGTATACGTAATTGCGGGGCAGTTGATCATTCACAGCTGGGCGCTGTACTTTTAACGAGAGATGAGATCACGGCGATGTCAAACATTTGACCACCAATCCGCATATGCATCCTTTTTGGTTTGAACCATAACGCATATCCCAGGTGTCCTCCACGACATGGGTGCTGATATAAAAAGAACGGGAATGGCAATTTTGAGCAAATTTTCGTTGTGACTTCTCAAACGAGGTAGGAGAATTAAGAATAATTTGTGCAAGAGATCAACTGATGTTTCGACATGAACGATGCGACGGTACCAGACTAGGGCGACCAGGTATGTTGACCCTAACTTCATAAAATTCAACAGAGGCCATTCGAGGGCTGAGAAGACACAAGTATCTAATGCAGGTGGTCTTCATTGTCCTTGTTGGGTAACGCATCGAAATTTGGCACTTAGGAAGGGAAGTCAAGGAGTAATAGTTTATGCGGGTTAAATGAGATAGTGGGAGAAGGAGATAGGCGAATCCAAAGTAACCGCTGCCGTGCGTGTGCATAGTCACAATTGCCTCAGATATTGACACTTTACGCTTGCTATAGGGAAATGAAGACTTTGGGACGCAGGAGTTGACACAAGGGGGCAAAGGGTGGTACAGCAGTCTAAGCTGCATGAAACAATTAACCAGGTGCCATAACATAGACAGCCACCGGGGAGGTTGACGTCGAAGCTCAGGTGGAGGATGCTGAAAGTTGGGTTGGATACGCTTTAGCTGGACTAATGGGGGAAGGAGATGGTAGAATCTTGAGTAACCGTTCTCGTGCGTGAACAAGGGACTTATGTGTAGGCATAAGCTTGACAAAGGCATTTTCTACGAAAACGTTACATTCTTTTAATGAGGAGAGGTTAGAATTCGTCAGTCTGGAACTAAATGATGAGTGTCGGCGGATTTGTGATTGCACAATGTCGGTTTAGCTGGTGCACAGCACCTGTCTTTTACCGCACCATTGGTCAGCCACTGCATTCTTTCGTCTTGATAGTCACGGTGACGGCCAGCAATGCACACCCAAATATGCCATCAGTGTGTCTGTGTGCAACGAATATAACCCGCTTATCGTATACGCTTCAAATCAAATAGGCTACTCGGCGCTGAACCAGTGAACTTCTGTATCACTTGCTATGGACTTACATCAGACCTCGGCAGTCAAACCTATTAGTATGTTGATGTCCTTATAGCCCAGGGGTCACTCCCTCATTCACTAATTAGCACTGGTAGCACCACCGCGTCGTACATCATGTCCTTGGTGGGGAAGTTAATGTCACACTTTTCGCATTGCTTATCGAGGCTTTGAAGGGCCGTATGGCTTTAGAGATCAGCATAGTGATCCTTTCGCGGATTGTTCACCGGAAGTGTTGGCGCAGTTGTCTAGAGAAGAATTCCAATCGATCACTTCTGGTGGTCATTCGGTGACAGTGAGAACCGGTAATGTGTCCACTCAGTCATGTACTACCTCGCTCTCTGAACTTGCGAAGCGCATTTCCCGGCCTGTACCGCACTGCATCTGTCTGCTCAGTGATGCTTGCATGGCAGTTAAGTCTGATCCAAATGCCCGCACCTTATCGTCTTATCTCGACATCTTCCGTCAATCACAGTACACAAAAGAATTGACTATGGTCAACTCATTGGTAAAGTTAACGACCACTTGGGGGTGGAATGGGATTCGTGAACAAACGACCAGTGTATCTAATGTACCAAGTAGACGAATTCCCGATCGGTTCCAACCATAATCCAAGTTATCTAAATAGGGCTGTCCCGATTAACCAATCCTCCCGTGAACGCTCATGCTGTCCGTGCTTCGTAACAAGAAAGGCTACATAGCATACGAAATTCTCCACAGAACATCACAAATTAAAACAGCAGAGCGGATGGTTTGGATCAACTTAATGATGGTTTTAAAGACGAAAAATTTGCCACAACAAGATGTTCGTATGCATGGTATTACTTACACGCCTCATGAAGCGTGGTAGTGTGATCATGACAACCTCCATCTGGATGAGAGCCAGCCTGTTTTACGCCGAATCGGCCCTCTACAAGACCACCACTCAGTTGCCGTGGCATGAGATCTGTGCACAGTCTAGAGGCAATCACAATACAAGGCCAATGCCTGGTTGGCTCTCACGACGTCTTTTAACTCCCTTTGTGGCTTTGGATTGAGTGTTGGCAACCACTTTCCAGAAAGTGACTAGACCTTCCACTGTCTAATCTGTGTAATCCATCAACAAAGCAGCGGTAGTTCGTCCTTATCACATTTCCCCTCCAGTTTCGACAGCACCACTTTGCATCATAGCTGGCGTTTATGGCATAGATTTCCCGGCTCACTGTATCTGTCTGCTCAACTACCTTCCGGGCACTTTGGTGCAATAAATCCCCTTGTTATGACACATCGCAACGATCTCTTGAGGAAGAAGTAACTGCAATGGGCTGTGCGCGACTGTTACGCAGCAGAGAGGAGCAAAAAAGTAAGTTCAAATACAAGCGCGCTATTGTGGTACATCTGCTGGAGTCTCTGGCCATTAATATACCATATCCCTATACCTTCATTCAAGAAATCGGCGAATATCAGTCCCAACGCAACAAAATGACAACTTAGCGGACTACACTGCCCTTTGACATATTCCGCCGAATGTGCAAGTCAACGATGCTTTTCTCAGCTCTCGTTTTGACCACTACTGCTTTCTTCCCATCCGCGCATCGAGTGGGATTTCTCGCCCAGCTGCTAACCCACCAAAGCTCTAAGCCAATCTTCATTTCAGCGATGCTCCGATGCTCTTCTATCAAGCCAATCGAGGCCCCAGAAGTCCATCCGGTAACCTGAAAAGCGATTCAGAATACCTTTTTCACTGCGCATTGCAGGTGATTCTACTCATACATTCAGTTTAACTTGGAGTCCACTCGTGATTATCGCACTCTTCACTAGTTTAACCGAGTTTTGCGAGAAATTCATCCGCCTCTTTCCAACCTCAAGCTTGATTTACGCTGAAACTTGTGTAGATTCCAAATTCCCGATAATGAAATCTACTCTCAATTAATGAGTAGCTTGTTCATTATCAGAATGCACTCGCGAAACCCGGGGTATTTTCTCCAATCGCAGTCCGACAGGTGAATTTACGATTTGTCTTCAGATTTACAATTTTGTTACTAATTATTTCTGTTTAAATTGTAGATTTACGGCATTTCGCATCTTTATTGCCTTTTATTTTACTGTGCCATAACTTTTGTTACACGCTCGCATTGGTTGCTGACTGAACGCTCTGCGGATTTACTGCTGGCTTATTACGTGCGAGTCGTTTCACTCATTCGTTAGTCCATTGTATTATATAGTTAAACTACGATTTTAGAATAACTGCCTATTATCAGGATTCATTCTGCCCACCACCCAGATCTTGCGTTTGTCTAGTGACTCGGCCCGCTTTCTGACTTCGCAGTAGTAACAACTGGGCTTTTCTGACCTCCATTCGCTGGCCAGCATATCATGTTTAGCTTCGGAGACATTTGGGAGATGCCATGCATGGCATAGCTCTGTGAATTATCTTTTCGCACATGCTATTGTCACATGATACATTTCAGCCTCATTGAATAACTCGTGCATGTTGCATACGGTGCAGTCCACGCACTTGGCCCTTGTCACCCTGTGTGTGTTCTTCGAGTGGGCCATTTGCATGGGCGATCCGGGTGGGAATATAGATTCAGCGCTGCTTCTTAATGCCTGTCTTCTCAGCCATTATAGATAATGGAGCGCACACATACCGACTCGTGAGCAGGGTATAGCACCTAATGTTTGGGTGCTCTTTGACCCTCATCGCCGTGACTGTCATGTCCTAACTTGATCACACCTGTTTTTGTGATACACAGCGCTCTATATGTGTTTCGCAACATGCCTTGCGTTTTCCACTGGCCTAGTTTTTGCGCAGGCTAAATATTTTCATGTGGATCTGTTTGGCTCACACAGTAATCTGAAATTTCTTGCATTCCGATGAACGTAAAACACGTCCGTACGTTATATTTTGTCTTTCCATCAGGATACTCTAACTCCTTTCTACGCTGCCTCGCTGGTCACGCGCACCAAGAATCACCGATAGGACGGTGCCACACTGTTTTTTCCCTCTTGGATTTCAAGGTATCCTAATCTGATGTTTGCTTTGGTATGCACAGTATCCCTAACGCGTATGAAGTCGGTGTAGAAGACATGTTCACGGAATCATCATTCACTTGCTTTTCCAAGCTGCTTAGTAGATCTCCTTAAGTTTGTGTCATGATTTGTGCGCGACTTTGCATTGACCTTACAATGTGTTTCTCTGTTTCTTCCCTGATTTGTTAACATGTGTTTTCTTCATTCCTGCCATGATTTCATAGAATCTACTTTTATTCTTATCTACTGAGCTCCCGACGTTTGAATGTCATTTAATGTGTTGTCTCTGTTATGGTTGCTCTAATTCTCAACTGGCGTTCTTCACGGTCCCCTCTCCCACATTTATCTTCGCTCAACTAGTTGAAACTAATTTCACCTCTAATAGCCTATTCTTGTCCTTTACCAATCACATTTTGCTGGTTTCGGTTAAATTTTCTATAATATGTTATTAGCTTCTCATAGTTTTTACTCTGCAACTCAATTGTCCAACGTAGGAACGGTGACTTCCATCTCAGGCATACTCCTTCGGAACCGAATTATACTTTCGAATTGGGCAGGTGTATGTAGGTTATCAACCTCCCAATCGACGCTTGTAACCTAAAGCCTTTTGAATCCTATGCCTGCCAATGCCATTCTTCGAAGTTGCGTACGAAGCTTTGTGAACCAGACTTTTAGAGCCGCACTGATTATGCCGCCTCGTCTGACAACGAAACATCTGCAAACTATTCAGCTCGACGAATAAGATGTGATCCGCAATATCATTCCGTTAACACATTTTGTTCTAATTGCCCCAGTCGAGACAGCTGACTTTTTTCTCACCCAATTTGAAGTCTATGCGGACCACACCCTAAAAGCTCATCCGCTATCGTCCCTGCCATTGATTCTCTCGGTGAATGTATGTGTAGGTGTCTTCAACTTTGTTCACCCTATTTGTTTCTTTCCAAATATCGACCTACTTCTCACTTTTGACTCGTGTAAGTCAAATTTATCGATTTGAATTGAGCACATGTCGCGCTTCTCCTTACCTCATCCCTCTGTAACTGAATGTTCCTTTCGTTGCCCGCTTTCATGATAGTCTGAGCAGTTCCTTCATAAATTTTAGGATTTATGGAATATAATTGCGAATCACTGAATCAGGACCTTGAGATGTTGGTTTGGCAGTTGCTCCGCTTATAAGTCTCGCCGTCATACCCACATAAATCGCCTCGTTGTAAGTTCAAATTTGTGATTGACATGTACTACTGATCTTGTGACAGTAGTCTACATTTTAAACAATTACAGCCGCTTTGGTTCAAAGCTCCACTAACTGACTTCTCCGATTTTCACGATTTTTACTATTTGATGTCAGAATTTCCTCTAGACCTACTACATTCCTACCATTTGCTGAAAAGGCTCGTGGTTTGTGTAAATTTCACCATCTCTTGGCATGGCTGACTAAGACGGAATCTAGCGAGTGTGAATAATGAGGATGGGGACTGTTTTCTTCCCCTCACCATCTTGTATTGAGACATGGGGTAGGCTTGGTCGAGCAAAAACACATTAGCAGAGGGTGGAGCTCGGCTCTCCTTTCCTCTTCATCTCTCATATGGATGTTATTGCCTCGAGTGAGTATGACAGAAATCAAATGAACGGAAATGGGAAATCAGTTTTCTCTAGTTTTCTACTTCCTGGTGGTATGACGGCCTCCAGGTAACCGTAGCCGATAGGTACACCGATTTTGTGTTTATATAGTTGGCACGCATTGTGGAACCCTGATTACGTTTTGTTTCATCCATTTATTAGCAATGCGTCGATTTTTCCCCTGCCCCATGTCCTTCAGTTGTCGCTTCCAACTCCATACTTCTATCCCTTCCCACTTCGTAGGAGTTAACTCAACACTTGCTCTCTCTTTGTCACTTTGAACCACTGTATGCGACGATGTGGATACGATTCATCTCTGTTCTGTCTCGCAACAACCCTAATGGCTCGGCTGTCGCCGCCCTCATTCACGAACTGTGCCACAGGTATTTCTCTTCTGAACAAAGTTTAAACCTGGAGATATGTATACAAACGTTTATGCTGGAGCTTGTGAACAACTCATTGCCCATGGGGACGCAGGTAAGCTTTCCATGCATGCGTACTTTTGTTTTCGATAAGCTGTTGTGCCGAGTTCGCTGTCTCCACATTACCTTCGTTTCAGCCATCTCGTTTGGTCTAATCTCCCTTGCACATATTGGCCATTTCCTTTCGAAATGGGTACACGAATGTGCGCGTCATGGATTGCTTCTTCTGGCTTTTTTCCCTTGGGCGTTGTCACAACCATAGGCTCTCTCACAATCTCCTATCACGCAACCATAAGCAAACCGAGTATGCTCTGAATATACAGCTTCGAACGTTTCCCATAACACGGTCTCATGTTACTATCGCTTTACTGTTATGTATATTCGATTAAGGGTTCTTACTTGCTCGTGCCCAATTTGGTTTGTCTTAAAACGAATATTCTATTTTAAAGGTATTCATACCAGTAGTTCACAAACTACATAGCACAGCCTAGTCCGGGAAAGCACCAGACGCGTTTCGCCCTATTGGGGCTCGTCAGTGGTGCGCATTCCCTCGGTCCCCTACTGGGGATCGACCCCATGAACTCTAGAAGCATATGCCAACTAGCCAGCAGTTTAAGCCACTGAGCCATGGGGGACGTCGGCTGGGCTACATGATTTGCAAGTTAATTTGGATATAGCACGACTCATCTTTCATTGCCACGCAGGTTACTACCTTAGCACATGACAGTGGCTAGCCTCCGAAAGTCATGACTTACTCTCACTAGAAGCTACCTCCATAGCATTCGAAACTAGGTGAGGTTACATTTTATATTGCTAATGATTAGAAGGATTTTTCCATTGGCATTTAATGTTTTCGTCCCAGTAGCTCACAAGCTACATGGCATAACCTAGTCCGGAAAACACTAGACGCGTTCTGTCCTATTGGGCATCGTCAGTGGTGCGCATTCCCTCGGTCCCCTACTGGGGATCGGACCCATAACCGCTAGTTGGCATCTGCCTCAGCCACTGATGATCTCCAAAAGCGCGGAACGCGTCTGCTGCTTTTCTGAACTAGGCTGTGCTATGTAGTTTGTGAGCAACTGGGATGAAAACATTAAAATTACAATTACAATATCCTCCTACTCATTAGGAATGTTCTATTGTCAAATCACCAGCTATCTTCATTTTAATGCCATGAGGACACAGTACTTCATTCTGCTTCAGATCAGTCCCTGTTTTACTACTCTCCGTCTCACTCTCTCTTTCTCTCTCACAAAATCTCATATTTTATTGATTTCGACCCTTTCCGCAAAGTTAACTTAAGTCTCAGCCACCATTGCCAACTTTTTACTAAACTGGTCCAGCGGTTGATGCAAGCATGCGTGAATGTGCCACTATTCGGTGCATCTCTTAAATTCGCTGGGTTAACCTGTAGACAAACTTCTGGTTCGCTGGATACCATCTAACCTATAAATGTTGCTGAAATCTCTTCTGTGAACTCTGCCCGATGATCCTGTGCTCCCCCCATCCGGATCCTGTTTGGATGCGACTTGCTTTCTTGCGTTTGAAACGGCGCTTTCTTTCATCGCCACAGTTTCCCTTTCACTCTTCCGACCGATCATCATGCTTGTGGCATAAGTGCAAATGAAGTTATTTCCTTTTTACAGGGTCCTGTCGTTCCCCTCCAAGCGCTTTGTCCTACCCAAAATCAGGACGCCCTACATGATTGGTCCCGTCGCCTGTTCTCTCTGTGGCAAGCCCGATTTGTTCCAGTGCGTCGACTGTTCACACTGGCTTGCCAGTGTCCTGAGACGAGCGAGCTTTTACTGTCTTACTTCGTTCAGAACATTCCATACATGGTGAGTCGCACTGGAACACACGTTTGTGCGCCGGAAATAGTTATGCGATTTCCTAGTTACACACGGTTGCGATAATCATGCGGATCCCTTTCACACACACACATACCTTCTGGTAATTGCATCTCCTCGTTTTTAGTCATCGGGCCAAATTCGCTCCTTCTTCCTACATCTGTCGGCACAATTTCACCCCAGTTCGACCGACAAACATCTTGCGTTGCTTTGGGACTATTTCATAGCTCCCGAACCGACAACCCGTCCGGACTCAGAGTGCCACCGTTGCCGCCGGAGCCCATTCCCTTGTGCGATACAATTACTGGCCATCCGCGAGGCTCATCGGCTGTTGCATTCAATCGTAGACTCTTCTGGTTCCAGCGATACTGAGGTGATTTCATCGCTTTTCCGTCTTCGTGGTGGGCCGCCTCCACCGTTTTGAGTATGAGATGAAGTTGCCCACATCTACACTAATCCGTTAGATAAGTTTACACAGTTATCTCACGTTTGAGTTTTCATACTGTTTACTTCCTGTCGATATGCTTGTGCGTTATCTGCCGCTGTATCAGCCAATCGATCACAGAATTGTGATGAACCACGGCGGCGTGCGCAGCAGGATATCTTCGTCATCCTTTCATGTGTTGGCTAAGGAGGAGAAATACCTCAGTTTTTTACCGCAATGTTAATCGATCAGATCATCATGGAAAACAAAATAGGTATTACTATGCCTTAAGTTTGATGGATTTCGAATGCAAACCTGTTTCTTGTATGTTTGTATTGTGGCAACCTTTCGTTCTTACCTCAAGAGTTTCTTCAAGGTAGCTTCAAGTACGAAACGTGACTGCAGCGCGCATTTATACGAAACCTATTTACATTCGGAAGCTTCCCAGCTTAGAAACTCTCGACCTGTTCCAGCTTTTTTCCGCGATACTGAATACCAAGCCTTATTTTTATTATGCGTCAATAGTGGGATCGTATTTGGCGAACGAGGTTAGACGGGATGGGAGGGGCAAAGAAACCCACAAGACAAGCGCCACTGAGGTCGGCTTTTGGACATGCCAGCACGTATCTTTAACGAAACCTCTTCGTCGTATTTTGGTACTTGATACGGTGGTCGGGGGAGGGGGGGAACAGAACACAAGCAAAGCAGTTGCTGTCTTCACTGCACAATTTCAGTTCAGATCGCAATCACGCACAATCTCTGAACTACCACGAGACAAATGTCCCGATTAACGCCGATCGTTTCAATGTTACTATCTCATTCTTGCATTCCACGACGCGTTTCCTCCTTGTTTGGACTCATCAGGTTGAGATAGCCTGAATTGGGAATGGAACTCGACACATACTGTTTGGTGGCTATCCCCATGTTCACTAGACCATTGAGCTCCGCGAGCACAGTTTGACACAGCGATTAGAAGTTGGTTGTCGGATTTTGGAGTACCCGCTGTGTGGCTTGGATTGCGACACGCAATCTCACTTGTGGCTTCGGTTGACTTCGAAATCAACCTGTGCCATTCCGATCACGCACTGATCATGTCGATAGCCACCAACCACTATGTGTCGAGTTCCACTCCTAGATCAGGCTATCCCTACCTGATGAGTCCTAGCCAAAAGAAAACCGTCGGTCGTGGATTGCAGGGATGAGACAGCGCCAAACCGAAACCCTCCACTTCGGTGACGGCCCCAGTGATCGTATTGGCAGAGGCTGACTTCCAAGTCAACCGAAGTCACAATTGAGCTTGCGTGTCTCAATCCAAGACATATGGCGGGTGCTCTAAAACACTACAATCAGCGTGGGCAGTGTTTCTCGTCTCCTACTTCCCATGGAAGAACAAAACTGTAACTCCCAGGTGAGTTACCCTCTACTACGTTTTAGCTGCAGCATGTGGAGTGGGACCTACACGAGGTCCTCCCAGAGTTCGTTGTCGGTGTACCTTGGTATAATGCCCATTCTATCTTGTCCGTTCCGTTAGTGTTAGACATTTAGCACTGGTTCAACTTTAGTGGACACGGTAGTGCGACGTACGATAGTTTCTGTTCGAATCCCATTCGGCGAGCTTCGGTATTGTCCACCTAGGCTCCCACCAGATGTGGACAATGCTCCGTAGGCATCGGTGCTTATAGACGATCAACTGCTTGCTGTCTTCTATGCGACATAGGCACTTTTGCTCCCCTTGCAGTAATCCACCGTCTTTGGATTGATGCAAGTGGGCCTCTGCGTCAAGGCCGATTGTATGTTCACTTTCGTTGCGGATCGATTAGAAAGTGTAATCGTCACCCCCATTCCATGCAACCTAATTTGTTCGGTTGCTTGCGTCTCAGATTCCACGTAGTTGCCGAGGTCTAAAGTTATCCGAACTGTTCACCTCATCATCGGACATCAATCGATGACCGAATCAAACAGTGTACCTACGCCCTAGCGTCAAACCTTAAGTGCCTCCCCCGATACTGTGTGGCTGTACTGGGCGACCGTCGAAGTTGGTGCATTTGCCACGGGTTGTGATCGCCTGGCGCATTCAGATAGACATGGGCCTGTATGCATAATTCACGAGGCGTTGATAGCCACATGCTGCCGACAGTTGGTACCATGCCAATCGTTAGGATGCTATACACCAGACAAGCCCGCACAAAAGATGCATTAGAGGTATTCATTTATTTATTAAATGCGCTAAAATATTCCACGTTCTTGTTCGTTTGCTTATTGAATAAATAAATAATCGGGCATGTTTCCCGGCAGCAACTACAAAAACACCAAGCCTTTGTACTTGTATTTATGTACAAGTGTTCTGCCCCGAAGAAGCAATTCTCGCTCCGCCGACACAATTACACCCATTTCTTTATTCACTAAACTGTTTGCTATTTTGTGGTAGCAATATTCTAAGCTGAAATTCCTATCTGCACAGTTCCCTTTTGCAACAACCACTTACTGTGTCCGTTGAAAATATGGTTCAGTGTTATCTGGTGACTATGTTAACTTGGAGCAGATGGTGGCCACGTGTGCTGCAACTAACGATGACGGGACCTACTCACTCATTCCACACTTCACTGTGTGCCTTCATTGTTGATTCACACACTTTCACATCGGTTCTGTGTGCCTGCGCAATTCTGGCCGTGGCCAACCGTATTACGCACGTTCTGTCGGCTGAGGCCAAGTTCATTGTGGCCAAACAACTCACGGAGTTTCGGATGCCTGCAGAGATAATCCGGTTCCTTAAAATGGAGCGCACATCCTTTGCGACACGTGATATGTCACTACGAGCACAACCTCCTGACATATGTGCCCATTCCTGTAGCTTGGCTTTCTTCGTTCACTTTTGCCTATCGGATGGTTGTCTTTGTTACAATAGTTTTACTCCTTGCTTTCTTAAGTGGTCGTCTCTCGCCTGAGTTGACGGCGGGCTGTTGTTCGGAACTCGAGATCGCTGGGCCCCACATGAAAGAGAAAAGGCCGGTTTCGGACGAACAGATAGGAAGCGGGAGGTACTAGCTGATCACACCGTCCAATATAAAGGTCAAATGGAGCATTCGTGAACAGTATATAAAACTCGCGTGGGAACATCTGGAAGAGTCAACTTACTACTAATCATGCAATGCCTCTATCCTGCTAATTGGACGGTTCATCCAGTTGGCTACATATTCGTCCAATCCATGTGGGCGAGTTTCGGCTCACCACCCATGCTTTGGCTCCGTATGGGGCAATCAGCTGCTTGCCCAGAGATTTCCTTATTAACACTTTCATGACTGTCTTTACATCGGAGATCTTCTAGGGGTCAATGCTCGTCGTACTCACGATGGTAACGGTTTTCTTTCCTCTTGGATCGATCGAATCCTCCACGCCAATGTTCACATCAAGTCGCATGGTGCTGACCGAATAACAGGCCCTCCTTCTCAACTTGTTCATTTCGTCATCGACGGATGACATGCGTCTGGCTATGGTTGTCGTTCCATCTGGCAGCATGCGCCAGCACAACTACACTGCCCCAACTTTGACGAATTGTTCTTCTCGAGTCCAGTTGCTCATCATCTGCACTTTTATTTCGGAAAGCAGCGATATCTGAGTGGCAACTTCAGCTGTTCCTGACGCTGAACATAAGGGAATCTAGTGCGGATTTCGATCGCCTCCGATGCATGACGAAAGGGCATTCTGAATCGATTGCTTGAAACTTGGATAAAAGATGAATTTCTGGAGGTTTAATTAGAATAATTAAACCTCCACATTCGTGTGCATCGTTTCCACAACACCGATTGACGACATTTGACTACCAATTTCAGAATTGATTGGCAACATTAACGATGATGAGTTCCCTGTGGTTTGAAGAAGGTCAGCTAATGGGATCACCAGAGCACCACTCCAGCTCATTCGGCGCACAGATCCACAAAATATTTTCATGAGTGTGCTACCAGCTGAGGGGAACGGACAACTGATTCACTCTCGATCACATCGTCTTGAACTTTGGGCCAGACACTCAGGAGCAATTCTACCGACCCGACATGTCAGCGCCCTGTAAGACAACGTGTGGCACATATCCGTTGTAGGAACCGACTGCATAATACGAAGTTCGTCATTCGTTGTTCGGTAACAGACACTCTGGGGCTGCACTGGAGTGTTTGTTGAACCTATACAACCTGCATTGGCTTCGTCATGTCCTTCGTATGCCATCTAACCTGCCGCCTCGATGTGCGTTGTCTGCTACTTCTCCACCCATTGTGGCAGAAGCTGTCGTGCCGGATCGAGGACATAACGACAAGTTATAAAGGTGAAGACCGAAGGGTTGACTCAAGCTCGCACACGTGCTCTTCCTGGAGGATGGAAGTATAGGAGTCAACCACCCTGGTGGTTAGCACGTCTAACCAATGTGGTACGATCACCCACTCAGTGGCACACTTATATTTATTCTCTTACCTTTTACTCATAACTCTTTCACTTGACAAGTTTGTGGTCTCTCCTTCATTTGCACCCTTTTTCTTCTTTCAATTTTCCTATCCTTATCAAGGTGCTGTTTTTTTGCGAATATGTGTTAGTAAATGGACTCGACCCCTTTTTGTACACAGCGGCGCATAGTCAATAACTTGAAGTCAGCTAACTTCCGACAACCTCATGCAATTCTTATAGTATACATCGTCCCAATCTCTTTCCCCACTGCAGTGCTCCAGTTCCACTTCCCTGGCTACCCTGATGGGATTCTGCGCACGGTTTCCCAAATCAACTGTGTTAAGTTCATCTCTGACCGCACTGCGTGATGTCCTCGAACGAGCCATCGATCGTTTGAGTAACAGCACGGGCGCTTCCGCTTCTGCGCTTCATGATGCTTCTTTGGAAGCGTACAACAAAGTGCCTGATGTCTCCTCTCTGTTGTGTGTAAGTCAGACATATCGTTTGAGCTTCACTAAGATTCCACATGAACGCCGAATTGGTCGGTCATTAATGTAAACATTGTTAGTCGCCACAATACTAATAGTGACCGTCTAATTCTTTCCAGTTTACTGCTGCGTTTCACCTTTGTTAGCTGTACACCTTCATCTCGCTTGCTGACCAGCAGTTGAGTTGGTCCGGTTTTAGGTCACTCTTTATCGTATTTGACCGCTTATTGATGTATGGCACTGCAGTTTTCCTACTTTATTATACAGCCATCATACTTCACCTAGTGCCAGTTGTATTTCACTGCCAAACAGGATTCTTTTGGTCGAGCGACATTCAGTTCCGCTCAGTATGAGTAATGGAATTTTGAGTGGCTGCTGGTTCCCACTTTCTGTTTACTGGGAGCACCGAGAGTGGACGGGAACAGAGGTTTGGCGCGAGATTTGCGTTTTTGTCCAATCTAACTTGGACTATATTGCCGTATGCAATCGGGAGTGGGTGACCTTCGCTAGCTGCGTTTGTGCGGCTTTTCCGGATTACCCTAATGCAGTGCCACTCAGCCGGGCCACTTAAGTTATCTTTCCCTATTGATTTGTTTCATTTCACCAAAACTCTGGCACTTCTCCCTCTTGTTGGAAGCATATGAAGCGCTTATGCGCCCCGGTCTTATTCCATTTTTTCATTTATGTCCTCCGTTCACTAACTCTACTCATCTTCGCTCCGTAATTACTTTCACATCCCACACTCAACCCCTTTGGCTTCAAGAACCACGTGTTACATACTATCCTCACTCCACTCTAACCCCATTAGTTGATTAACCCCTCCGTAGCGTCTGTCTTCTGTCCGTTTTTTTCATTTTTGCCTATTTCTCCACCACAGCAACTTGAAGAAGATGCCAAACCGTGGCTGCTTGATTCTATTAGATCGGTACTGCGAGACTCTCCCAGCATCGGTAGCGTCCATGCCGTCGCTCATCTCATACAAGCTTTGACGCGATCCAGCCGGGGCGCTGATCAGGAGCATCTTTCCTCCTTGCTACAGGATTGTTGCCTTCGTTGTTGCCCCCGATTGCTTCAGCACATTCTTGAACCTCGCCAGTTCTCAACCCCTGAACTATCAGCTGAGATGGCCAACGTATCGAGGCTGTGCGACACCGATGGCGATTTTATCTCGGACGGCGTCACAACTAAGATTCCACTTCGAATCGGGTAGGCATCAGTGGCTCGTACAATTTCATTTCATTGCGGTACACGCTGAAATTGTACTAGACAGGTTCTCATCCTCGTATCGACTGAATGTAGTTTACCTTGCATTTCGCAGAGGCAATAGCACTTTTACATGCTTTTGAGTGGCACTGGGGATGTTGTAGCTCTTTAACTGATGGTACACTTTCAACTGAGACAGATGTGAATACGGTTCAGCGTAGGCAAATACCAATCCCAAACTACGCTGGGTCGTATTTTAGGGTAGTCTACGGAGCACAGATTACTCTATCTACAACGCTTTTCACGCACTTCCACGTTCTGGTTCGACAGATCCGCATTGTCTATCAGGATGTTTCATCAAATGTTTCTCTCTCACAATTAGCGTCTATTGAATGGCGTTTATTTTTTGCCTCAGCTACTGCATGGACAAACGGCGCTTGCGGACCGATGGAGATAGACAGACAATATGGAGCGCGCTAACGGTAACTACCGAGGAGACAGCTGACACATTGAAATGGCACTTCGAATTTATGCCCAGTATATGTGGTTTTATGGTTCATTAGTATGATCTTTTGTTCGCTGCCCAGATTTTGTTTTGACTCCCGAAGAACTACTCGACTGTTACTACTGTCACTGCCTTTGCTAATACTCTCACAGAAACTCGTGAGGTGTGAAATTCTATTCCCGCTAGGTGTATCAAACTTTGCTCACATCAAGAAGCCACTCTTGTACATGCTGCGACGTTCGCTCCACGACCGTCTCCTTCCGGGCGTTTGTTCTTCCTGTGTCACGTGTGTCTGAATACTGAGAATATGCAGCGAGTAGCGATGCATCTGTATAACTGTATCTAATATTTTTCAAGCAACTCAACCTATTATGATGGTGATTATTCTCGAACTCTCAAGTCGGCAAAGTGCAAGTCCAGGAGTTTCTTAAACGCTGACACCGACTTTGCTTCCACTATGTCTGCAGTCAGGTTGTTCCAAATGTTCACCACCCTCCGCTCGAAGCAGGGTTGGTGAACGACCCGCTTCAAATCCGGTACGACAAGCTTGTACCGGTGTCTTCGTGTGCTGCTTGGTATGCGCAGATGAAGCAGCGGCCTCAACATGGGGTAATCACCCAGATGTAATATCCGGTGCATCATGATAAGATCAACCCTAATCTCTTGCACCCGTCTTCATATGGCACACCTCGTAAACAGGTGATAAGCCTTGTGGCCACATGCTCTAACCGCACAATCCTTTACACCTCGCCCCGGGTGAGTGGACAGAAGGTGGGGGAGCTGAACTCTAGCATTGGCCTGATGATAGAAGAGAAGAGGTGGGTGACAACCTCTTCGGACCAAGTGCAGAAGCTGCGTATGAGAGCCCAGTGCATGCACAGTCCGTTTTGGTAAAGCCTGTTCGTGTTTTCAACGGATTTCAAGTCGCATTGTGAGAGTACGCCGAGATCTTTCACGGATGGCAATGGGTGTAACTGTTGGCCGGCCAGATTGTAGACTCGGTCATTGCCACCCTTGGCTAGGCTCATGAATACCGACCTGACCGGGTTGATCGGAAAGTTGACCTTTGCTGACCACATGGAGAGGCGGTCCAGGTCGTGCTGAAGCAGTGGTCGCTTTGTGTGCATTTGTGTTATATGTCTTTGGGCTGGTTCGTACCATACTACTTACTCCTGGTTTGCTACAATACCGTCATTTTCTGCGAGTTCTCAATATCTGGCCTCTCCCGTTGGTGTTGCGTCCACTCACCGCCCCATTTACCGTATGCCTATGTCTAGTGCAAAACAAGGCTACTTGAATATTCTATTCCTTCATGTTTCAAACGCCTGTGCGATATGTTGCCATCGATCATTATTATAGTTTCTATAAGATTATGCAACAAAACCTATCAGCTTCCTGTTTTTCAGATTTTCACGGCACAGTTTCTTGTCCTGCCATTGTCTGAATGAATCGGTATTTAAATTTCCCCATTTCGTGTCATATTGCGCAGAGATCAGCTTCTCTTTCGACGGATGCAACAAGCCATCACTGAACCCGCCCATGTCTTGGAGCAGCTTGCAGGTAACTTTTCTCTACAACCACGGTCCACTTTTTCCCGCATGCATAAATTCTCTGCTCTTGTCACTCGTTTTCTACATCTATTTCCTCACTTTTTCGCTTTTTTCGTTATCTCGCAGATCCCACCCTGTGCAAATCGGTGCAATCATACCTTATCGGTCTAGGGACTGCCTTCCTCCATCGTCTGTCCTCAAAGCCACAAATGCCTATGACGAGTCTAACCTCCTCCTCCTCTCCTGATACAGATATTATGGCTTCGCAGTTCCTTCATCTCTTGATTGAGGTGAGTTCTTGGATCGCCTTTCGTTACATTTCGTTCTTTGACCCGATGCGCTTCTGCATTTTCACCTGGGTCTCCGCTTGTTTGACCCAATACTACATCCGCAGTATCGAACGTGGTGTTGCCAATGGAGATGACAAAACCTACGGTGTGCACAGAAGCCCTTTACTAGATGGGCTACAAACTTAGTATGACAAACAAACACACTGGGTCACTACGGGTGAGGTTTGACTTGGTCGCGAATTTAATTCGAACACCTGACGGACGCATGTGTCTTCCTTTTGGCTGAAGCGGATCTCCTAACCTAGGATTTCGTAGATGTGACCTTGCTTGCATTGATGCGGAGATTGTGTTCTCTCGGTTTTCCTTGTGCTGGATTAGCTCCAACACGAAAGCCAAATCAGTCAACCCAAGTGACCTCGCTAGGACTTTGTTTCTTACCTCTGATGAGTATTTTGAGTATTTACATTCTCGTCTCAGCAAGTCTGGCATTGATCTTCGAATACTTATTGAATTTAACTCCGCGAGTGCCCACAAAGATGTAAGCGTACAACAACGAGGAAATCTTTTTGGACAATTCTCCCCAAGCCATCGTATATTAAAAAACCGGTTAAATCATTTCAGTAGGCTTAAACAGCTAAACCTGGTTGACGAAGTCTTAACAGGATGTGTATCTCCCTCTCTGATCTAATTGGTCACAAAATGCAATGCAAGAAGGTAGTTCCATCACAAACGGTAAACTTTACTTCTCTGTTTGTTCGCTTACCTTTGGTGTACTCCACTGGTGGCCTCTGTCCTTCACTTGACGGCTGAGTGGATGAAATGGCTTCCATCTCTATCACCGAATGGGTCTCCCTGATTTGCTCTTCTTTAACACCACCATCGAATTTGGCATCTTTCAATCCCCTTTTCCAGATCATCCTCAACTCCTTGGGCCGCGTCCCGAGGGATATCTCAGTCTATCGGGATCCCCGTGCTCAACATCACACATTTCGGCGCCATGCGTGTTCCGTTGGTCTGTTGCACCTTACTCTATGTCTTATGGACTACCGGTTACACCGTCTGTCGATGCAATTATGCGAAAATGCCACCAGTTTCTTGGAGAGTGAAGAGGAGCAGGAGGTCAACTTTTATTTAGGCTTTTTGGCCGCAATTGACCACTTTGGTGCGTTCAGTATTTTTCCATTTGCACTCCATTTTACGCATCTAAAGATCTATCTGCCCATCGTAGCTTAGAGCTAACACTGGATCAATTCCTTTTGTCTTATTCAGGTGCTGCTTCTGAGCCGCTGACTTATTGGAATCTGGATCACCATTGGCCAGCCCCCGCGCAGTCTGTTTCCCAAGGTCTTGCTATTACTAATCTTCTTGTTCCGAAACATCCAACTCTCTTTGGTTCGTGGTACCCGAGCCCAATTTGCGCTACTGCTGTGGCCCATTTCACCGACACATCCGCTTCTTCGTTGTCCGCTTCGATGGTTTTCACCGGTGCATCGGAATGTACTGAAACCAACAGTGAGCCATTGTCCCGTCGGGTACTAGCGGCTCGCCTCGCACCGTGTCAGGTGCTGGCCAAGTGCCGTTTACTGCGGTCCGGCTTGTCCGTAGCACGCAATTCACTGCTGGGTAGCAAGTTAAGCGTGTGTCTATTCGGTAAGCCAGAACGTTGGGTTATTCTTTGCATCGGGGCACACCGTTTGGACCATCCACCTCCACATGTCATTAGATAATAATTATTTTGATAATTACTTTTTATACTTAAAATTATTTTGATTAGGATTATAAGTATTATAATAATGTATATTTTAAGATAGCAAGAAGGAACAACATTTCAACAGGATACTTTGAATTCAGCTATTTCGGGTATTCTCATCAGTTATTGACATACAATCCGTGGGAAAATGGTGTTGCGTTTAAGAAGAAGCAACTTTCAATGCCATACAATTTAAACTTGACTCAAAAATATTTACCAAGGCAAGGAGAGGCTGGTCCTAAACTCAATCTCTTGGTATAACTTAGGTTTCAGCCGCCGAATTGCTGAAGCTTTAGCAAACTGAACTAGGCGGGGATTTCTCTGTCGGTTAATTATCCTGAACGCTTCGCGGGGATTTTAACATCCGAAGGAGTCTAGGAAGTGCTGGGCAATAGAGCTTACCGGCAGCTTTGGACCGTTCGCACCCATATTACGTGTAATGTGCTCTGAAATTCCGCTTGATAGCCTTCTATCAGTTCGGCCCACGTACTTGCTACCACAAGTACAATGTTTACCTCTTTCATTGTTGAACTCCTGAGGCGAGGTTTTCCGTAATGCAGAGCACCTCCGTACATCTTCCGTAAACATTTGCAGCAATGGGACAGCCGGTCTGTTATTGGTTTCTACGAAGTGTATACAACAATCATTTTCATGCGTGACGACAAATTCCCAGTGGATGCTGGCTGATCTAAGACAAAGCGTAATGAAAACATTCAACTTACAGTGAGCAGTGGTAGAAAAGTATCTGCAACGGCACAGGAATACAATGTCTGTGGTGTATCTAGTTTAAGCAATATATTTGCCTACAATTTACCATTCCCAGAAATGACATATTAGAAGAAGAGGATGCAGTCGTACAAATCCGATACGGTTGCTCTATGACCCTCAAGTGGTACACATGATGGCTTTAAGGTGGGCATGATCGAATATGCCAGCGGAATTTTGGCGCTCATCATCATCATCATTAACAACAACAACAACAACAGTAGGTCAGCCATTCACACTGATGCTTCGCTGCTATACGACCACGTTAAGGTTCAGTCTCGTTGCGGCACTAACTCCGAGAACACGTTAAATGGGTAGCTGACTGTCCGTTGCGAGCACACATCAACTTCAATATGCTACAATTCGATGGCCAATGTCAGGTGCAGACTGCGAACACACTGAAACATTCTGCATGTTATGCAGCCGCCCAAGTACAGAAAGCCCTTCGTCTGCGACCAGCACCAACTAACTACTGGGTGCTGCGGTTTTCGATTGATTTCTTTTGTGAACGTACCTCAGGAGAGTAGCATGGCGTGTTATTGACTCAAAATTATTGATATTTAGCTTGTTCCATGGGGTGATACCCGACTCTTCACTTGTGGATATCTACTGAGAGGTCAGGAATGGTTCCATCCAGAAATGACCTCCTTAGAACCTTGTCTTGTCAGTTGCCATAACCATTGATTGATGATTTAGTTTCACAGTTGATACTACCTTCAATGTCATGATCAGTCCTTCATTGGTTCACCTGCGAAAACCAGCTTCGTAATGGAAGAGAATCCGCAACTAAAACCACAAACAATTTGGTGACGGAGTTTTGCCCGATCGCCTTGTTAACATAGTTAGTTCTCTCTAGTGTTTCGGCCCTACTCCTTTTACCCAATAGTCCAACCCAGTTAGCGCAGCACCACCAGAAACCGTGGTTACTGTGTAAAAACTAAGTGAAACGTTATGCGATTCGTTTTTAACTCATTGCTCCTGGAACGGTATGCGAATACCGTAAACACGACACCAGAGCTTAGGAGTTTTGTTTCGTTCGTGGTTGGTCAAGATGGTGCTATCTGCTTGATGCATTCAAGGTCGTAAGATTGGTCGCACAAGAATTGAGGCCACGCACCTGTTTCGCTACACAGTACACACGCGTCCTCCACATTGCATCCACGGGCCATGATGTGCAACGAATCGTCAGTCATTACTCACAAGGCGGATGCACTAACACAGGTCCCAAATCTCGGTATTTAAAATAAGGCTGGGTTTTTTCGCTGTCTGCTGATGGCTTGCGGTTAAGAGTTTGGAATCAGTAGCAATTCTGTTGTGTGCAATTCTCTACCCATCCCCGTTATCATCATCAGCTCGCGCGTGCCACTTTTGCAGCTGCAACTGTTACGCTTCAAGAGCCAAGCAACTAGTCGACTTACCTGGTCGTCGCTTGTAAACAGCTATTAAGCAAGTAATACGTTTGGTTGGCTATCTAGTGTGCCCACTGCTTACGGCGCTTAGCGGCTGTCCTGATTGCTTCTCATCATAATATCATGCCGAAAAATCTGTTGAACCGTACACCGGAATCTTCTTGACAGTCATTTGCATTGTGTCGTCGATGAAGCATCTCTTGATGGCGATTTCAAAGAATAAGTTGCTTTCCATGCACATATGACGCACTGATTATTCTAGAGCTATAGACAAAATCCTTTCTGGTAGATCAGCTTGATCCCTGTTCATGCGCGTCTGTGTACTCAAAGAGGCTTCGCTCACCTCACACACTTGTGTGTTGGGCTGGTTCTTGTTATTGACCCATACCACTGGTTCATTTCCACACATACACTTTTTTCAGCTTTGCGCATCAACATTTGTTCGGTTTTTCCAATATTATCGGCCCATTGTTCTCCACAGGTTGCATTCGCTTACTTAAAAGGACTGCCTCAATCCATCCAACCTCCGAGTCCCCATGGGAATCCGCGACGGACTCCCTTCTGAACTTGGATCCTCATGAGTTAGCCGCAACCATCAGCCACATGAACGCTTTTGGATGGACTGATCGCAAACAGTTCGAGAGGTCTTGGATGTCCTACTTGGAATTATTGGTTGGTTCCAGCCAAATGACGGACGGGCATTCTGCAGAGTCGCCAACACACTTAAGTACCCTGGACGGGGTCAATGTGGTGAGTGGGACAATTTGATTGGCCTGCCTAGTTTTTCCCAATTTGATTTCTCAACTGTTCACCAGACGAGGTACATTGTGTCTCTGATTACTTGTGCGTATAAAATTTTTGACGCAATTTATCAGGACTTTGTCGCAGTGTATCTAACACAGCCTCCGAGCATGTCCGGTAGGTGGGCCGAATGGTCTTTTCGTCCCAACGAGATTCATCAGTAGTGCGTGTACCCGGGCTTCTTCAGGAAACGAACCCATGATCTTCTTGACTCCAGTAGCTTATACTCCTATGTCATGGATGATTTACAAGGTGGCTGCGATGTAGCGCGACTTATCCTACCTCCACGTAGAGGATAGGAACTTTTCTGAGAACAGGGTTAAACCCTCTAGTCACGACTTTCCGTTAGTATCAAGGTTATGGCTTCGCTTCCTGGTGGAACCGAAGATGTGTACCACTGACGAGTTCCGATGGTGCGAGGCCGCCATCTATTGCTCTTCCGATTGTTGTTGGAAGTCTGTCCGACTTGAAGCTACCACGAATCCTAACTAACATCGCGTTTCTCCTACCCGCATCTATGAAGATGCCCCGAAAGACCTTTCTCTCATTTCGTCGGATAGCACCACAGAGTTTGCGCAATCACGGATCAGTGGCGATGTAGTTGAATACTGAACTGCAAAGATGTTTTCCACACATGCGCTTAACCTCCTTCACTAGAACTTTCGCTGATTTTTAAAGCGAATCGCTTGCCGGTCATCGTCATTTATAACAGCAAATTGGTAATTCATTCCGGTGCTTCTCTATTGTATAGAAACAACAAGGGGAGTTGAGACCCATTAAGTAAACACTTTGGGTTAAGACACCTGTAGCCGAACTTTGCCACATGTGGGAAGTTCTCCTGACCCACCATCACTTTCGCACTCCTCATACGTTTGACACGTTCTATATGCGGATATGTGTGTATACATGGTTATCCTGCTCTCAATATTTCCGCGCGTGTGTCTTTACCTCGTTCACTGTGTGATTATCCCCGTCTCCACTTCCCCGGAATGTCCTTGACCGATTGAAGTGAACTCTTTCCCCATCTCTCCCACACAGAGGTATGCATTGTGCCGATCCTTTGGAAACTGTGCCCGCTCTGTGTGGACAGATTACGACACGCATTCTCAATGTTGACCGCGCTTCCCATTGAAGTGAACGTTGGTCTTTCGATCACGAGGACTGTAGCTGATGCAGATAGAAATTGGGTGTTGCCCACCCGAAAACACTGCACTCCTGTGGCGCGTTTCAATGTCATTTGATCTCATCATGCTCCGTCTACATTGTCGCCAGTGACTTCTTTACTAAATGTTGTACTACAACGTTCTTCAAGTCATTTAGTTTGACGCAAATTTGGTAACTTCCCCAACCAGACAAGACTCACAGCTTGACTTTGCTTACACAAACAAAAATTCGTTTACTTGAAGGATGTTTGTAAGTAGCGTAAGGTTCGTAGAAAGTAGCAGTCACGATTAAACTGCACACAATAATCTGCCTCGACGGGTAATCGAACCCCGGTCCCACGAATTTCCGGTCCGCTGCTCTACCACTGAGCTACCGAGGGCTGACGATTAGGTGCACAATTTAATACATGACTTCTGCTTCGTGCGCGACGTATTGCCAATGAGCTCACAGTAACTGTCCTGGTGTTGCAGTTTGTTCTCCATTTAAAAACGTGCACCGCTAACAAACTCAGATCATTTTATGCTAAAAATTTACCTTACCATCTATAGTAAAACTAACTGCCGCATTGACGAAACGACAATTCAGAACTATCCGACCACGCAATATCGCACGACTTCAAGTGATGCTTTCCTCAACCGATTTTTTAGTTTTTTAATATGAAGGTCTGTCGCTTCAATGCGATCCTCTCACGAGTTATGTAAACGGCTTCCACCTATGCTGCCCCATCAAGACGATCTACCTACGAGCAGATAGATTTTCTTCACCCTGCTGAAACAACTTCAAAGAAAAAAGAACGTGCTTACAAGCTCAAAATGACCACCCAATTCGAAAGCCTGATTTTAACGAAAGCTGAAATAGCAAGACCAAACAGTTTATACCTTGTAACGGTACTGATAAACCGTAACTGCCGGGATCTCTGGAGGCTGTTGAAGCAAATCTATGGTAAAAATACCATCAGGTGTACTGGAATGGTGGATGTCGACAAACCCAATTCTGAATTTACTTCCTCTCCGTCGAGCGCTTTTCCTATACCCTTCTTCACTCCCTCAGGGCTAGTCGCCTTATTCGATCAACTCGACGTCAACAGAGAACTCAAGAGGCTAACTACAAATAAAGCTAGGGGCCCTGATGGTTTATTACCTGTGGTTTTGAAGCTGTGCACCAATTCCCTTACATTACTCTTGACTAATATTTTTCACAAATGTCTCACTACCGGTGCCATCCCTGATATCTAGAGGGCAGTCAGAATAATTCCAATTTCTATAAAAGAATCTCAAGCATCGGCCTTCCGTGCTCTAAAAAGTCCTCCATAAGCTACTAGTTCCACGGATCTCCACAGCCACTCGTGCTGATGATGTCTACCAGTCTGCGCTCAGACCCCAGCGCTCCACGCTTGATGCTGTCTCATACCTTGTGCATTCAATAGCCTCTGCGCTAGCTAAGAAGTGTAGGTCCGTACGACTTCTTTTTCTTGACTATTCAAAGGCGTTTGGGTGTCCTGATCGATCAGTACTGTTTAGCCTACTTTATTCGAACGGAGCCCACCCTGATATTTCTAACTTTTGCATAACTATTTCAATGATCGTATACATTTTACCCGGTTAAACGGCAAAAGTCCCTCAATTCTCTGCGCTGACTGTGGTGTTTTGCACAGCACGATCGTCTCACCCCTTTATATGTTGAAACTCTTCATACCAACAGCATTCATTGGATGTAAATATGCTGACGATGTCTTAGGATACAGATTTCCCACCACTGAGACGTCTACGCTTCAATCTGGTTTGGACGAACTTGTGAGTTGCTCCTCAACCAGATCCCTTAATCTTAGTGCTTTGAAATGTATTGCTGTAACATTTTCCTTTTTCCGTCATGATAAATTGCGAGTAATTTTAGTTGCCTCTCCTTTGAAGGACAAAACTATCCTTATTTCATCCACTGTCAAATATCTCGGTGTCTATTTTTCACAAAACCTCTTTGTCCATGCATGCTTTGGATACCTTTCACAAGGTCAGAAGGTTACTATTTATTTTTTCGACTTAAGAAGTTCTCCATACCGCGCAGCTTAGTTTTGTGAGTTGTAACTGTATGTATACTCCTCCGCTGGTTATACTGTTCCCCAGTAATTTTCTCTGGACTACTGCAGAAGGACTATGTTTTGATTGTGCGATCGATTAAACATATTTCCATTTATGGCGGCTTGCCGAGAGGTTCCATAGTTGATTTTATTGTTCGTAAACATTTTGACGCTTGCATGAATTTCTCTTCTAAGGCTCTAAGTGACCGCTCTCATCTGCTACATGATGCTATCACACAAATGTTATCTGTTTCTCACACGCTCAAGACTTAGGATTTTATTCTATAGCATTTCTTCGTATCGTATCACAATCTCGCCTTATTTGTCATGCTTTCTTGTCGACCCAATGAAAGTCACAAATGCGGTTGCTTGAAAAACATCCACATACCTTATCATTCGGCTCTATGGTGAAGGCGATTTAAACGTTGCAGCAACTGCACGCGATACAATTCTATGAACGCAGGGGTGCATCCTGTCACCGCTCGGTTTTTGCTTAAACTAGCGAAGGAATTCGAGCAAATTGGGTGTGTGCAACATGAAGAAAACCGGGCCGCTTAGCATCACCACGGACGACTGTTTCGCTTGCGCTGTATTCTGTGGAGTATCAGCATTCATCGGATCGCACAGCACTGTGACAGGACTCCATACGCGGTACACAGGATATCAAAAGAACGAAAATTTCGCAGATTCAATGCACTTCAAGTGCAGGTTTTGAACCTCTGCGATCCGGAGAAGCGATATGAATTTTGCCGCTGGACATTTATTCTGTCACCTTTACAGATGAAGCACTGTTTCATCCACATGGCACAAAGAAACAGTATTCTTGGGCTACCAGTGACCCACGAGAATATATCGCATCACGTATGCATCACAGTGTCGAACTAATGATTTGGGCTGGATTAACAAGCCAGGAAATCTTGGGCCCATATTTTTTCCGGGAATTTAACCGGTAGGTTGTTGTTTTAAAGTACTCAAGCCTTATCTTTTCTTAGCAACGTCCTACTTGGAAATGCTCCAGTCATTTTTGCTTCCACAGCTGGAGGCCGAAGGGGCATGCAGTACTCTTTGGTGACAGCAGGATGATGCACCTGCACATTCTGCTGCTACCGTGCGCGCTTACCTCAATGACACATTTGGTCACCGTTGGATCGGACTCGGCGGACCAATGGAGTTGCCCTCTCTCTCACCAGATTTGAGCCCCCTGGACTCCTTTCTATGGGGCTATCTGAACTGATGAGTGTACAAAACAAGGCCGCGTACATTGGACCAACTGAAATAGGATATTGTGAAAGAATGTTGCGCGATCACGAAGGATACATCGCCAACTGCATCAAACGGTTTCTGTACTGCAAGCAGAACGCCGGTCAACATTTTGAACATATACTTCGCTAATATCGATGATCATTCAAACTTATTTCGGTAAATATACTTGTCCTCTTTTACAAATGTGTTAATGACTAAATTGGTCCGCAGGCAAATGGTGCCAATATTGCGTGCGGTCGGATAGAATTCTTAGCGTCTAGGCTGTCGTTGAGCACATTACCAAGTAAGTATTAGTATTTATTGGTATTTAGTTAATATACGGAAAGGAAGGATCAGATCCTTTTGGTGGTGCGTCGAATGCACATCCAAACTAAGCCTTCGCTCGGGGTACGTTTGCCCCCGTAACCCTTCCTCCAACCTAGTACCTAGTCGCAGAACAGGTTCGCAC